GATCGTCTTGGTTCGATAACAACTTAACTCGGATCGGCAACATTCAGAACAACTCCAAAGCGTTGTCAATTCTTTGCGATACGTTTGGAAAGGGGCACCGACTATGCCGACTACGTCGTGTGTGCTACGTGCAAGCAGTCGTTGATTGCCGGTCGAGTTCCCTCGGCTAGCGTGAGTTTACGGCTACCGCTACCCCGCCCCGACCCGAACATCTACCCGAGTTGAACGCGGTTGAAGAACGACTCATCGCTCCTTGACTCCCGTTCATGAGTATACGACGCTTGACTCACGGCAACGGACAGTACGGAATCAAGGGCCAGATCGTGAACGTAACCAATTATATGCTCCGCATCCTCCTCAGTGTTCCCCCGAGGGAAGTTGCGGCATTTTTTACGGTAGACTTAGCGCAAATGCAAAGATGAGAGAAGGACAAGCGTCAAGAAGGGAGAAGTTGCGCTGTCCTTCTCTCATCTTGGCATTTGCGCAAAGTATATCGTAAGCACAACTATAAACTGTGCTTCTAAGTAGGTGGTCGCAATCACTGGCACGCACGCTAGCTCGGCAGCCATCAGCGGGTGACATACATACGCTTCTACGTGCTTCACTCATCCCGAAGACTGTGTGAAAAGGGTTCCTCTCCTTGAAGTGGACGCATTCTCGTACACCAGTATTTTGTACAGTTACGTATCAATCCAAAAGAGTTAGCTGCCAGCCTCACTTCATATAACATTCCAATTTGCTTTTATCGCATTCATCACTTCACCTTGCATTCATCACTTCACCTCATTCATCACCTTGCGCTGGAACTGTGACTATTTTAGTAATGTAAAACCACCCATGTTTATTTTTTACCTGAAAGCGCAAGCGTCAACCGCCGAATCGAAATGCGCGATGCACAACGATCAAATGAACGAGAATAAGTGCATATGCTCGATGAGAAGTCGATTGATATGTGGGGTTTAACGTCCCAAAACCACCATATGATTATGAGAGACGCCGTAGTAAAGGGCTCCGGAAATTTCTACCACCTGGGGTTCTTTAATCTGCACCCAATCTGAGCACACAGGCCTACAACATTTCCGCCTCCATCGGAAATGCAGCCACTGCAGCCGGGATTTGAACCCACGACCTGGGGGTCAGCAGCCGAGTACCTTAGCCACTAGACCACCGCGGCGGGGCTCGATGAGAAGTCATGTGCACCTGTCCTTGCTAGGCTGTTTCGGCAACTAATCATGACCACCATTCTTTTGAGCCCTGTTACCGCCATCCTTTACTTCTTTTCTGAATGCTGCTGTCATGTCATGAAAAAGTTTTACCGAAACTGCAAAGCGATGAATGCGATAGCAACAAACTGTAAGACTGGCAGCCAGCTTCTTTAGATCCAATATAGCGTAACTCTACAAAACGCTGGTGTAAGAGAATACAGTCGTGCCAGAGAGAGATGCTCTTCTCGCAGTCTCTTCGTGCTGACAGCACAGCACGTAGAAGCGTTCGCGAGCCATCTGCCCTAATGCCTGCAGTGATAGCGTGCGCATAGATTGTGAGCACGCTCAAATGATCAAAGTTCCTAGCCTCTCCTGGAGTGATTAAAACCTTTGCGGAACCAAAGCTATAACCGTTTCAATGAAACCAAAATTACAATGTTTCAGCCCCGTTTCCGGACGCGGCACTCAATGGCTTTCGCACTTTGCAGGCAAATTGTGGTGCTGCGGCGCAGTAGGGTGCTGATAGGCGAGTTTGGCACAGGTAAGAAAGTTTAGCGCACAACGGCGCGAATGGCGCAGCTGTTCCACCCCTGGGATCAGAAGAGAGAGCGGGGTCGAATCGTGTAAGGTCGACTTCTTCTCTACAATACCTTGAAGGGCCCCTCCCGGGTTTGAGCATTTCGAGTTTACAAGTATAATGCATTCACTGTGCTCTCACAAACACGTCTGCCAAGATTTGTAGAGCAATATGCGTCATGGAAAGGATTCAAATTTTAAACTGAATGCCGATCATCCTTCTTGCGGACGGGACGCGTGCCTCATGATGGAGGGGGTGACATACAACAAGAAATGGTCCTGCTTATATGTCGCTTCTGTGCATAGATACTCGTGATCTGATGTCGCTCACCGTACATTTTTAATCACGTCCTGGTTAAATGCTGTCTATATCCAGAAAACCAGATGAAAAATGTTCCGTTTCATGTCTATATCTAGCACTTTAAGTGGAACCATATTGAGAAAGCAGCACGTGACATTGTGAGCATTATTCGAGGCGACATGTGTAATTTGTGTAATCTGTTGTTGAGCAGATGAATTAAATCTCTGAAAAATAAAATACACAAACGGAATGTCAGCGTGTTCTCACTTTTCTCTCATTTTCGAATCGCAGCCAGACACTATACACAAATCGACCTCCTTTTCGCATGTTCATCTACTCGCCTAACCTCGCGTTCTGAACTCTAACAGTTGGCGCGCTATTGATTCATTGTCTGTGACAGCAGTTCCAGTGGTGCGATGCGGTGTGTTGCGGTAAGAACAGAAGATCTGTGCCAGCCTCTTCAAATGTACTATGCACACCGAGGGATGCATTCCTCAGAACGGGCAATACACAACCAAGAACGGATGTGCATTGCCTCATACAGGAGAATTCAGGACGGTTCCTGCAATTCCTTCGGGACACTGGACAACTGTCGGCAAAAGACACTCGCCGGGTCTTTGGTTATGCATGCCACTCTCCTTTGCTTCTTAATGTTTGCTTCTCTCCCTCATGGCCCTGCAGATGCGGAGCATGCTCCCATTTACGGCTGCAGAGATAGCATTTTTTCCTATCTTCAACCTCTTCTTCCTTCTCCAACTGCTTGTGCTATGTCAACGCTGCGGCGTATGGTGGCCGCCGCATCTCATTTCACTGCAGCTAACAGTAACTTTTCAAATATTGGTTGAACCTGAGGACTTCATTGAACCTCGTACTGTTCTGAAAGGTCAGTGTTCACTTGCGACATGAATAACTGTCTCAAACCTCGCTCAAAAACGAAACTAGGGCTTATATTTTGTTCATATACGCGCTGATTTTGGAAATAGGCACTTGTACGAATTTAGGCTCGCATGCCACAAATAGGCATTTATAGCCACTACAAAAACACTATAAAAGCCCTCCTTGACCTCTAATTCATGCTCATATATTAAAATGGCATGATAAGCACGCAAAGAACAAAATAGGCATTTGCCTAAAATCCAGTTTCAAGGTATTACACATGTACGTAGATCCACTGCCTTGCTCTTTTTACCTATGAGTGCTCTGAAATTCAAGAAGATAAATCATGATAAGTAATGTTACAAAATACTTGAACATCACGAGCACATTGATTAGACAAGAACTTGTATAACTCGGCCAGCTTGCTGTTTTAATTTCTTGCGCTAATCATTTTTTCCCAAAGTGGCTGAATGACTGCAATGTCAGCTACCACCAGTGATTTTCAAAAAACACTTTACGACTTTACGTAAGTTAAAGGGCCAATAAACAAACCCGAGGTCCAAAAAAGTTTAATGAAGATAGTTATGTGAACATTTTCTATGTGAACATGCTGCTGCAAAAATTTTAGGAATATGTGCTATAATAAAAAAGTTACAGAGGTTTCAAATTTTTGCACGGCTGCTTTTCTGCAGTCCCGGGCTCTACAAAACTGCTGAAGGCCGCACAGACATATGAAAATGCGGACTGCACAGCTTAAACTGCACAGCCGCAGGGCCAAAGCGCTGTTTTCGAATAACAAAGAACCAATCGATGAAATCAATGATGCGTATGTTTTTCGTCAGACTGCACGTATGAAGTGGATTAGTCAGGCGAGAAAAACAGGCCCGAGATTATTTTTCAAAATGAAGGAACTGCACAGCGTGCAGCGGTGTAATATTTGGCAAGTGTGATCGCTGCAGTCTACAGCTCAAATTGGCGAGCTTGTTTGGGGGGGGGGGGGGGTTAAAAAAAGGGTCAGAGCCTGTTCACTGGCCCTCTAACAGCACTTTCCGACATGTCCCCCATTTTCACCAATACTACGCATTTACTCGAATTAAGCACTCCTTCTTCCTGACAAAACTAGTATAGTCTAAACATAACCTGTGCGCTGCACTCGAGTATGAAACCACATTATGTTTACAGCATTGGCAACAATCTCCCATCAGAGCAAGAATGCTGTGTCATCACCATCACAAAATGGTGGCAACATATTTTGTTGACGGCTTCATATAAACTTACGTCTTGCTCTAATGATAACAGTGTGCAATTACAGCTGTTCAAATGAAGTGTTCATAACGGTGTGCTGCTTTCATTACAGAAGCTCATGCCAAAAGAAAATCATTTTGCCCACAGAAATAGACCTGTAAGATAGCTGCATTGAATCTTTTGTACTGTTGAGCAACTGTGTCCATGAGTGGCACAAACAAAGGCAGATGGCCAACGATGTGTTGGCCAGAAAACTGTTTTTATGAGCCAAACAACAGGAAAGTATCCTGAACATTGAAGACACGTTTGCCATTCTTCTGAAGCGATCTGTGTAGACACACCTTCTCTATGTCACAACTGAGTCCCATTTCGATATTATGCAGAAATCTGGATCATTAAAGGAAAAAAAACACTGCCAGGAAATTCAATTCCCAATTTTGTTGGGCAACTTGCATTTATCTTTTTTTTTTTTAGAGCCTTAACGTGAGATACGCCACAGTTCTCTTTAAAACGTTGATGATAGTAGTAAATTTAGTGTACTTTTATTTTGAACTTGCAAAAATGGGGTGTGGGTTAGATTAAAGAACATGCGGCACTTTAATGCTTGATGAAATTGAGCAGCAGAATGTAACTTGAACAAAGCCTAAGCACCAGAATGTAATCTGATAAGATACATACAACTGTTGTAACAGCACAGTACAACCAGCGCTGCACTCAATAGCACTAATGATGGCAAACAATACTACTTGAGAGCCATCAACTCCTGTTCTGATAACGAATAATAAAAGTAAACTGACCATGGGTTGCCCTGACCATGCAGTAGCCTTTCTCCCCGGTCACACTGAGCCGGTCATCTGAGAGCTTCAACTGGGGTGCTGAAAATTATGCATTAAAAAAAGCAGAATAAAAAAATTGGAAGGTGTCATAATATTATTGCAGAACTAGATCAAGGGATAGGATGGGACATACGATTTACATGATAAACATTACAAAGTTATATGCCACCTTCAAAGTGCACAACTGAACACAAGACAAGACTGTGTACACTAGACTTTCCTGACAGCAGCGTTCATAATATGCAATTTCAAAATGACTGTTCACAATATTGCCCTGGTCAGAGCTTTATTGCTCACCCAAATCTCAAAATTTTCCATTGTGTACTCTCATGGTATTACTAATGCAAAGCTATATAGAAGTTTCACAATATAACATCCATTTACACCACCATGTTTGATCACAAGGTAATGCCTATGACGACTTTGTATGTGGTTGGCATGGGTAGCTTTCAAGATCAACTTTCATTAGAAGGAACTTTGGTAAAGTAGTAAAGACAGTGAAAGTGCACATTTTACTTTTAATACAGTCTATCTGCACAGGAACCTCCCTGCATGCAAGCTTACTGGCAGAAGGCAATATATTGTTACGGGGAGGATGACAGAAAAGGGCATAATATTTACAGTCCACTGTAGTGATTGTATTAAAACAACCAGATGGCGGAGCAGCACCGCCTAGTCCTCTTCTTCTTCGTCATCTAGGTGAGGCGGACATAACATTACCCTCCAGCGGTGCAGCCGAAGAAAGGCGGTAGTGAAGGTGGTCACTATACACTGTGTGTTGGGGGAGTCCGGTGTAAGGTAAGGCTTCAGACGGACAATGTGAGCGATGTCCGTGTGGGGTGTCATGGACGAGGATGAAGACAATTGTTCTATTTCACGTGACGTCGGTCACTTGGCGGGGCACACGGTATAGTCCTTAGTAGGGGAACAGTAGCTCCTCAGAAAGCCCAATACGGCGTGCTGAAGACCACAGGAGGACAAAAAATCTTGGGGGAAAGAAGGCGCTTCGGTGATGGCTGTCGTAACAAGATTTTTGGCCCGCTTGCGAGTCAGCCGAACGCGTGCAAGTTGGCGTGCATGGTTGGCACGAGCTATAACTTCTTGAGCGTATTCAATGGGTGAGTGCGTCGAAGGGGGCATCATCGTGTCCATAGGCAAATTTGAATTTCGGCCAAACAAAAGAAACGAATAGCCCGCCGCCTCGTGCCCGACGTATTGTAGGCGAATGTGACAAAAGGCAACACTGCATCCCAATCTCGATAGTCGGCAGACACGTACATACCAGCATGTCAGTAAAAGTTCAGTTCATCCGCCCATCAAGCCATTTGTCTGTGGATGATAGGCCATGGTTAGCTTATGTTTAGTCGAGCAAGACATTAAAATATCACTAATGACCCGAGATAGAAACTGCCTTCCACGGTCCGTCAGAAGCTACCGTGATGCTCCGTGCTGAAGGATGACGTTGTGTAGCAAAAGTCCGCTCCGTCGGTCGCACAGCTCATGGAAAGTCTGCGAGTAATTGCGAACCATGTGGCATAGTCCGTGGCAACAGCGATCTATCGATTTCCCGCGATAGACTTAGAGAACGGGCCAAGGAAGTCGAGGCCGACACAATGAAAGGGTTCATATGGAACATGGAGTGATTGAAGACAGCCGGCAGGTGGGAGTGCTGACTACTTCTGGCGCTGAAAAAGACCGTACGAGGTCACATAACGACGTTCTGACCTATACATTCCTGGCCAGTAGAACCGACGGCGCGCACGATCCTAGGTGCGGGAAACGTCGAAGTGCCCCGTCAACGGCACGTCGTGAAGCTGGGCCAGAACAGTCGAACGAAGGTGTGCCGGAATCACATGCAAGAGGTCAGAACCATCAGGTATCAAACTACAAAGTAGCAACATGCCGTCGCGTAGCACGAAGAGAGAAGGGATGAATCGGGAGCTGTAGAGTTGAGGCGGTTGATAATGTTGTGAAGAGTTGGGTCACGTCGTTTCTCAGCAGAAATGTTGAACAGGTCAGTTATAGCAAGCACAGACGGAATGGTATCGTTCGCCGAAAAGTCTGGTAGGTCGACGGGATAACGGGACAGGCAGTCGGCATCTTGATGCAAGCGGCTAGGTTTGTAAACAACAGTGAACCTGTACTCTTAAAGGCATAGTGCCCAACGACTAAGTCGACATGCCGAATCCTTGAGTGAAGACAGCCAGCATAAGGAGTGGTGATCACTAATCACAGTGAAGGGTCTGCCATAAAAATAGGAACCGAACTTTTTGACAGCCCAAAAAAGAGCAAGGCACTCTTTCTCGGTTATAGAATAGTTACACTCAGCTGCGGAGAAGAGGCGGCTGGCGTAAGCAATTACGCAGTCATGACCACGTTGATTTTGGCCAAGGACAGCGCCGATACCATGACCACTGGCATCGGTGCGTACTTCGGTGGGTGCATAGTCGTCGAAATGGGCCAACACAGGGGTGACGTGAGTCGGTCGACGAGACGGGAAAAAGCCGACGCTTGGTCAGGTCCCCAAGAAAAAGGGACGTCTTTTTCAAAAGACATGTGAGGGGCTGCGCAATAACTGCGAAATTCTTAACAAAGCGGCGAAAATATGAGCACAGGCCGAAAATCGAGCGAACGTCCTTGGAAAAACGTGGAATAGGGAAGTTGGTGACACTGCGTATTTTTGCTGGATCAGGTAGTATACCGGCAGCGTCCACTAGATGGCTGAGCACGGTGACCTCTCGGTGGCCAAAACGGCATTTTGAAGAGTTGAGTTAAAGACCAGCGGTGCGAAAGACTTGCAAAATAGTTGACAATCGTTGAAGGTGACTGGTCAAAGCTGGGGAGAAAACGACAACATCGTCCAGGTAACGGAGACATATGGACCACTTGAAACCCCTCAGTAGCGAGTCCATCATGCGCTGAAATGTTGCTGGCGCATCGCACAGCCCAAAGGGCATGATCTTAAACTGGTATAGACCATCGGGTGCAATGAAGGCGGTCTTCTCCGGATCATTTTATCGACAGCTATTTGCTAATAGCCCGAACGAAGGTTAATAGAAGCAAAGTTCCGTGCGCCATGAAGGGAATCAAGGGTGTCGTCTATTGGCGACAAAGGGTAGACATCTTTCTTGGCGTTTTTGTTGAGGTGCCGGTAGTTGACGCACAACCGCCAGGTGTTATCTTCCTTTTTTACAAGTACGATGGGTGATGCCCAAGGACTTGAAGATGGCTCGATGATGTCCTTAGCGAGCATCTCATCAACTTCCCTTTGAATGACGCTGAGCTCAGTTGAAAGAGACACGATAAAGGCGTCGATGAATAGGTCTTGCGTGCGCGGTGTCAATTTGATGGGTCACCAGAAATGTTTGTCCAAGTTTTGGTGAAGCGAAATCAGAAACGTCGCGGTATGATGCCAACAAAAGGCGTAGGTGCAGGCTTTTAGAACGGTCTAGGTCAGGGGCAATCATGTTGTCGAACGCGTCATCAAGTGTCGGGCTAGCAACAGTGCTGCCTGAAGGTGGCTGTGGGACATCAATGGCCAGGACAACAGGGTCATTTGTGTCTAAAGGTGATATCGTGCCCAGCTTGATACCTTCAGAGAGCAGTTGCGCGCAGCGTTCAAAGTTCAGGACAGGTATGCAAGCATTGTTTGCAGACGCAGTCACAAGAGAGTGAGGCAGAGCTACTCGTCGCGTCAGAACAATGTCCAAGGAGGGGGTAATCAAGTAGTCGCCATCACGTACTGGTTGGTCTGCGTTAAATCAGACGTAAGACGCGGTACCTGGGCGCAAGCGAACAAACTGAATGACACATAAACGTGGCGGCGACGCGATAGTGAGGTCCGGTATAGCAGGAAGCTCTGACTGTAAGAAACCTGATGAACAGTTGACCAGGGCTGAATGCGTGTTCAAAAAGTTGTGGCTCATGATTAGGTCGTGAGGGCACTCGTCCAGAACAGAAAAGAGGACTGAGGTCTTGTGATCATCGAGGCTCACACGTGCAGAACACATTCCAAGGACCATAGGTGTACGGCCATCGGCTACCGCGAACAAATGATGAGGCGGGTGTAACGACTTACGAAGACGGCGAGAAAGGTGAGCGCTCATGACTGATAATTGGCCACCTGTGTAGATGAGCGCTGAAACAGGCATGCCATCTACTTAAACGTCCAAAAGGTTTCGTCGAGTTGCCAGAGTTAACAGGAGATTTCCGGGTCAATAGGTCATGCAGCATCACCTCCGGGAGCTGCACTGGTCAGTTTTGCGAGGAAGGAGGCAAGGGAAAGGTGAAGGAAAGTGACGGGGCATAGGTGACAGAAAACGTCGCTGGGTCTGGGGGGATGGCGAGCGGTCGTAATGTGAGCTGGATGTTCGGGCATTAGAGCTTGGTGGGTCCTTATGACTGTGAAAAGGGGAGGATCTGGTGTCATTTCGACGGTATGATGAACGAGGGAACGATGGCCGACAGTAGCGACAACAGCGGGAAATGTGGCCGACGCCATTGCAGTTGAAACATATCGGCCTGTCATCACGTGTGCGCCACTAGTTCGGATCACGGTACATGAAATACGTCCGTTGTAGCTGGTAGTATGAAGCAGGGCTGACTGCGGGAGGACTTAGGGCGCATACAGGCTGGATGCCTGCATTTGCCAGTTCTTCGCGCACGATGGCCTGGATTAGTGACACTGTCGGCAGACTTCCTGGTGAGAATAAGCCTGGGGAGCAGATGGAGAGGCTGCCTCGATCTTTCGGCGAACAAGACGCAGGAATTTTTTGGTGATGGGCAGTGGCTAAATCTGGACGTCTTCGCACGACGACGTGACAGCAGTGTTAGGGAGCCCAACAAATTGCTGTGTGACTCGTCGGCTCTTTGGTTCTTCGAACCGTCAGCACTCCCTGATAATCTCGTCAATGATAGAGCAGTCTTTATACACAAGAAAGTGAAAGGCATCGTCAGCAATGCCTTTGAGAATGTGACTGACTTTGTTGGCTTCCGGCATTTGGCTATCAACTTGCCGGCACGAGGCCTCATGTTC